GACGTCGACCTGGCAACCTTGGCCCTGGTGTCTGTGCCAGGTTTGGCCGCATTGAAGTTATCCCTTTGGCAGAAGATGTAAACGACGAGGCCAGTGAAGATGAAAAACAGTGGACTGGACCATCCTTAGCTGCATTGGTCTGCCGAATCTGGCGGTGGAATACAAGTAATCTCAACCTCCACAAGGCATATGTGGAGTTTTATATGAGTCATTATTTTTAATTATGTAATATATATATTTGCAATTAAAATATACGATGCTACTTTTTAATGACGTGAGTAGTATTTTATACTAACAGTAATTTTTGAACAAGGCCTTAGTAACCCCAGGTAGGTCAAGATGAATAATATTATATATATATATATACGACATAAAATAGAATAATTTAATTAACACTTACTATTATATTAGGTTTATTAATAGTATCCGACCTGCGGTAGCAAAGGCCTTATTCAAGAATAACTGCTCGGATCGAATTCTACTCACATCAGAAATAATTAGCCGTGTAGATTTCAATAACAAACCTATTTGCCTAATCGACGCCCCCATTATAAATATCAGTTTGTTGGGTCCAGTATTGTCTTGAATGACGCACACCTGCCCTGAATCCAGTCGAGGGGTGCTAACGAGACCAATTCAGGTGAGTTATAGACTGCATTCCAGTCCATTCCAGCCGGCCTGAGACAGCCTTCTGAGAAGCAAATTTAAGTGAAACCTACGTATTTCATTCTGGTAACAATTCAACTAAGTTCTTAATTAAAAATTAGGTATACTCTTAAAAATAGTTAGTAACAACCTTTTCCTCAGGCTTGACCACAGTTTCGACCTTGCCTGGGCCTCATCAACACCTTCAACGAGACTCAATGCTCAGTTCGCGAGTGTTAACCAAACGAATGTTTGCCATTGAAAGCAAGCTTACAAATTTCTCTGAACGACTAAGGTTTTAAATTATGGATAACTCTCGCGATTCATTGCTGGAATGCAAACTTTTCAACTTGACGCGCACGACCCAGGTTTGATGATTTATTGATGAGATAGAGGCCCATAAAAGAGCACCACTTTAGAGGCAAAGCTAACAAAAATCTAGAGGTATCGAGTTCCTAGTAAAGAACATACTTCCGTATAAAGATGAATTTTCTCGGGGGCGAATTTCTACTCGACAGAATGTAATCGGAGTTAAGTTACAAAGTTTTATTGACAACTTTATTGCTATTCACCAGCATGGATGATCAATTTGAGTCTGGCAATATGGAATAAATGCCTTCAACGAAGTAGAAACTTCATAGGTTTGCAAATTAATTATAAAATGCTAACAAATTTCCATTTTAACTTGTGTGTCAACTGAGGAGGAAGTATATGACTAATATTAATTAATATGAGATGTATTCACCCAATTTCGTTAAAGGTAATGAAGGACTGACAGAAGAATTTTCCCACAATGATATGAGGAGAGCTGACGTTTTCATTAAATTTCACATAGCCTTGCTTTCCCAAACGTTTTTCTCATCCAGGGTGGACTGCAGTTTCAACCTCGCATCGGTCTTATCAACATC